AGGCTAATAGGACTGGCACTGGGTAGGAAGAATAAAAATCTAGTAGCTGATGTTGGGGTCTGTATATCGTTAAAATTTTTTTTAAATGTTTATTTATACTTGAGAGAGACAGAATGAAAATGGGGGAGGGGCAGACAGAGAGGGAGACACAGAAATCTGAAGCAGGCTCCAGGCTCTGAGCTGTCTGCACAGAGCCTGACACGGGGCTCAACCTCATGAACCGTGAGATCATGACCTGAGCCAAGTCAGACCCTTAACTGAGCCACCCAGGCGCCCCTGGTCTGTATATTTTTTTAATGCCACTGCTTAAGTTTAGTGGCGACCATTTACAAGTTTATAAAAAACTTTAAGATCAATGAGTCTTATTAGACTGTATTATCAAACAACTCGAGTCCATGGGGTAGAGCAAGTTCCTTACGCTAACAATGGCCAAGCCCAGGAGCCCTGTCCCTGGAGTCTCAAGTGTAGATTTCTGCCTATCTAATGTTCCCCAACGTTGTGGGAGTGTTGGTCTTTAGGCGGGTTATTAATGAATTAAATGGCACCCCTGGCTAGTTGTTTCTCCACACTGAAGAGTAAAGAATGGTAAGGGGCACCTGGATGGCTCAGTCGGTTAAGCATCTGACTTCAGCTCAGGTCGTGATCTCACGGTTTGTGGGTTCGAGCCCCGCATCGGGGTCTCTGTTGACAGCTGGGAGCCTGGATGCTGCTTTGGATTCTGTGTCTCCCTCTCTCTCTGCCCCTCCCCTGCTCACTCGCTCGCTCTCTCAAAAATAAACATTAAAAAAAAAAAAAGAGTGAAGGTGGTTGTTAGGAGCTGATTGTGTCCCCCGCTCCCCATCGAATCCATTTTGAACCCCTAGAACCTCAGACTGTGGCTGTATTTGGAGATAAGACCCGAAAAAAGGTAATTAAGGTAGAGAGGTCATATGAATGGGACCCTACTTCAATATGATTGGTGTCCTTATAGGAATGGGACAGACAACACACAGAGGGGTGGCCACGTAGGGACACAGCAAGGCAGCCATCTACAAGCCAAGGAAAGAGGCCTCAGAAGAAACCAAACCTACCGACACCTCAATTTTGGACTTTTAGCCTCCAGAGTTGTGAGAAAATAAACTTCCGTTGCTTGAGCCACGAAGTCTGTGGTATTTTATCATGGCAGCCCTAGCAAACACTGTGGTCGAGACTGGAGGAAAGTGTATGTAATGTAGACTTTACATTATACATTTCTCTGGGATGCAGACACTATGTTATTAATTAGGGCTTATTGTTTTAGGTACCAGAAATAAAATCGAGCCAACTTAAACACACATAAATAAGGAAGGCATCCTAAGGATACAGTGGCTTCTCACGGAAACGGAGAACAGAGCTGGCCTCAGAAACACATGGGATCCAGGGCCCGAAGCACTGACAAGATTCTGTCTTCATCTCTGCTTTTCACTACGTATCTGCTTCAGTTTTCTAACCTATCCCAACTGCAGATTCCTGGGGAAGACATCCATTGGCCCAGCCTGAGGGACTCAACACACCCCTGGTCTAAGGGTCTGTCAGGCTCCTATGGAAAAGAAGGCATCCTCAGGTCACAGGAGCTCCTCAGACTCTGGGATAAGTCCTCGGTGGCATGGAGGGTCTGTCCCCTCTCAAGGGCAACGGGGAGGCAAACAGAAGAGGTTTAGTGTGCCAAAGCAGAATGGCCAATGTATGAACAGTTTGGCTCTAGATAGCAAATCAAAGCAAGAGCAGCCTGAGCCTTCATCCAGACCAAAAACAGCTTGCAACCTACGGCCGTTTCCCAACTGAGGAGGAGAGAGAGAAAAAAGTGCCAAGGACACTGACTAGTAGCCTGACAAAATATGTGCAGCCATCAGCTAGAAGAGTTGCTTGGCGATCCACTGGAATTCCATCACACAAATGGTGTGCAATGTTTATAACCCAAAAGATAAGGTGCAATGAAACATAACATCAATGGGTCCGGTCTCTGGTTTAACATATTTGGGAGTGTGTATCATTACTGAGAAGGGGGGAAGAGATTAAATAACGCTTACTGTTCTGGAGAAGAGGCAAGGGCAGAAAATACAGGAAGGACAAACTTTCAAATAAATCTGAGTCGGACAAAAATGGTTACCAGCCTGAAGCAGCATGACAGAGGGCAGCTTGGTTTTGCTCCTGGTACCCATTCCTCTCTTACCGGGCACCTGGAACAGAAGCCCCTGTGTAGGCGCGGTCTCCTCCACGACACCTTTCCTGACTAACCACGCAATCTGGCAACTTACGTTTCCGAGACTGTTCTGAGGACACTGCGTCCCCTTGTACATTAAACCTCCTAGGGTTAAGGCCCATGGGACAGGCCCTTCCCCATTTTGTCTTAAAGGGCCCGATACACCTTTAATGAGCATTTACTGCCTAGCTGTCACCAGATGAACAGAAAATCATCAGAAATCTACTTGCTGGACTCAAAAAAAATCTTAGATTCAAGAAGGAAGAAATCTCCAGAGATATTTCTTTTAAGATAAAAACTTTATTTTACAATTTTATAAAGCAGCTTTACATTAAGCACAAACAATCCATTTACTTTGTATAGAAACAAAATACCTTTCCATCTGCAAAAAACCCAGTTTTGCCGTGTAGAAAACTAACATGTGCACGTTGTGCTTAAATTGCAAAGTCTGTACAGCTTTACAAAGGACCGCCCTTCAGAAGGGCATCTGGTAAACACTTTATTGCATATTTAACACATGGCATCTAACCCACATGGACAGTGGAGGAGAAACAAGAAAAACAAGTACAACGAGCATGAAAATAGCAGCTTGCGGTGAAAGTGTGCACGCCGACAAAGAAAAGGCCCGCCACACCTGGAGAGTTGTGCTTGCGTCTCACTTCTGTATTTGCTCACAGACACTGGGTGGTTTTTGGATGAAGCCTTTATGTACAATAATCCTAAAGGGTCAAACTTGACCTTTATCTGGAAACTTTTGGCTGGTTTTACAACCAAAGTGGCAAGATTTAATTTAACAGCAAAGCTAAACTCAAGATAAATGCGAAAAACCAATACCATTACCTTGAAACAAAGACAAATCAAAAGAAAGAAAACACAACTAAAGTACCTTCCCCATTCTTCTAAGCTCAGAATTAAGTAAACATTTCGCATGATTTAAAACCCTAGAAAACTCTGTAGGTGTTTCGGGATGAAAATGCAATCGATGGCCTTGGGCAGTGTCCCTCCGTGCCTGCCCCGCAGGTCACCTGCGTGAGAATTACCCAAATGCTCGTTAAAAACGCAGAGCTTCTCAGGCTTCACAGGCAGATTTAGGGAGTATCCGGCATCTGAATTTCAGGAAGCTCCCAGGTGATTCTGAGGCACCTGAAGTTTGAGAACCAGTGGTCTACACTGGCGGTGCTGCCGCAGGTTCAACGCATCCTCTTAGAAAATTCTGGGATCACAAGAAAAATCAAGTTGCTGTTGCAACGTGGAAGGCAGTGTGAAACCAACAGCCATGAAACAGCAATGCCATTTCTAGATCAAAACGTCTTTCCTTTTTCAGTGGAAAAGGACAGCCACGTCGTTAAGGCACTGGTATTTGTCACGGAAGCAGTACCATGCTGTTTTTGCGGATTCCCTTGGTCTGAAGTACTAGTAATATGCAAACACAAGGCAGCAGTCTGGACCGCTTGAGATAATAACAAATAAGATGAAGTGAAAAGGGTTTCCAGACTGGAGAAAGTTTATTTTTGAGCACAGAAATTAAAAAAAAAAAAAAGGAGTCCAGATATTCTCGCTGAGACATCTAATGTAGAACTACACAGGTCAGAAGCTAGGGGGAAACTTAATAACCCACAATGGTTCTGTTGTGGGCAAAGCAGAGTTGCAGCCACATGACCTGGGAGCTGAAGCTTTACTTTCCTGTGGCCGGTGTAATACCGTCTTCAGTGTACATCTGTATCGCTTTCTCTGCTCCTGTTCCCTTTGCCACTGATATAAATATTCCGCACATATATTACACTCATACACATGTATATACTTTCTGATTTCTAAGTAGTGTTGGCTCTGAGTTCAACTGAAGACGCAGTATGTGGGCAGGTGCCCACGTGGCTCTCGAGGTGCAGCTCATACGGGCCGCTGACAGACTCAGACTGCAATGTGTTTGTCAGATTCAGTCTCCTGAAAGCATGGGGTCTCATATTTCAATCTGTGTAAGTTACAGCAGCGATTTGGTGTTTGTCACATACTTAAAACAAAAACAGCAAAATCAACCTCGCTTGATACTGACAGTGCCTGACGCCCTCTAGCAGACACTGCCCAGGGTGTGAGGGCTGTGAACCTATTTATGTGAGGTACGGTGGGATGGAAAACCAAAATAAAGGTCGGGTTACATACGCACAGCGAATGCGGTAGCATCAATCACTTCTACCCAAGAGCTGAGATAATTTAAAATTAAAATTGCAAAAGAAAAACGCTGATGTGCAGAGTCAATGGTCTGGAAAGTTGACAACCAAGAATGACCTAACAGTAGGGAAAAAACCCGCTACGATTCTTGTAATATCTGACAGAGTATGTTTCTTTACAGAGCGAAAAAAATCCTGAAAGGGAAGTGGGAGTGGACTAGCTCCTGAAATAAAATTTCCAAAGTGTCCCAAAAACGTCTGCTCAAAATAGAGAAAACTCTCAAGTGTAGTCTGAAGTGAAATACAGAATTCCAGACAGTGACAAAAGGAAATCATCACAGTGGGGGCAGGCAGGGAGAGACTGATTATCACATCTTTACTGATTGTAGATCAAGTTTCATAAAACAGGTAATATTTTTGTGATTTCTTGTGCAGTCAACAAGTTTCGTTTTAGTTGTGCTTAAATTATATAACTGTGAAGCCCGAACACTGGTTGTGTTTTTAATTTACACGTTTCAAGAAAACCATACATTCAAAATATTCTCCATATATAACAAAATTCAATGAACACAACAAAGTTTGCCCAGAAATTAATCTATAGAAAAGAAACACCATTTTGAAAAGTTGCACACAGTCCACTATTCAGGCTGCGAGTACACATTTACGGGATTACAGCACGTAAGTTTTTAAAGGTTGCTTCCAACATAAACATACATAGTCACATTTTAAGAGAGACCCATACTAAGTTTCCAGGTAAGCGCTAGACAGTTGGCCAGGAACAGCTACGCACCAGCGTCTCTCCCAAGCCCAGAGGGGTTGGACTACCTGTGCAACTGCAGAGAGGGCGATAAGCACGGCAAAGTTACACATCTTTGTTCAGCCGTCGACTAAACATTTTTCTGCTCCAAGGGCCACCTCGGTTTCAAAACACCCAACCCAGAGAACGCAATGATCTCCGAAGACTGGTTTCATGTATCACTTGAAGGTAATCCACAAAAACCTAGTATACAGCCTTTTAAAATGTGCCTATGCTCTGTGGACACAGAGTCCACGGCTGTGAATGACAGAGGCTGAAAGATGATTTGGTTCTAAGCTCTAGTTGTGCTTTGCCCTGCTGCCTTTAAGGTAGCTTTTCCACCTCTTGACAAATTCTTTGAAGATTGGGGACTCGTCGATGGTGCTGAGGAGCTGCAGCTGGTTGATGTGGGTGGTGTGGTAGTCCCAGCGGGCCAGGTTGGGGGCGATGCCAAGCATGAAGTGGCGGAGGTCATAGATGGTGCCCGAGCCAGTGTCATACAAGGGGAGCATGGCTTTAAGGGACTCCATACCACGCTCATACAAGGACCTCGCTTCTTTCCCTAGCTTCTCCCCTGCAGTTTCTTTTAAGTCATAGAGACCAATTAAAGAATACATAAAGCCATTTAAGACGAAAGAGCTAGGTGTGGTGGGATATTCTTCATACCAGTCGTGTTTATTCATAAACACGGCCCTAACTCCGTGCTGTTCCGACAGAAACTTGTAAGGGGCTGTTGCCCTTAAAGCTGAACTGAGGAATAAATGGTCTTTTGTTAACAGATAGGCCCTGACTAATGTAGAAATGGCTTGCCCTTGGGCCATGGCAGAGTACCAGCCAGGCTCTAAAGACTTGAACCCTTCCCCTAGCTTACGGGTCACCATGATCGGCCAGCCCCCTTTCTCATCCTGGTTCCTTACCAGCCAATCGCTGGCAGCGAAGAATGCAGCCATGTGGGCGGTGGTAGAGATGGTAATGTTGTCAAGGAATCCTTTCCCTTTTGCAATCAACTTAACCACCTTTTTGGGCATGATTTTGGTTGGCTTGACAGCTTTTGTGTTGGAAAGCCCCACTCCTTTCCTGAGGTCAGTGACCAGGTCCCTTGTGACCGTGCTCCAGGAAGTTCTAGGCCCAATGCCATAGAATATGTCTCTTTCTTTAAATGCAATTAGCTGGGTATTTGAGACATAATGTACAGTGAAGAGTTGATTCTTTTCTGTGGTCTCGAGAACCACGGACACACTTCCATTTGTCAAGAACTTGAGGTCAAATGAAATAATAAAATCTTTTGTGTTCCCCAGCTGCAAGGATACACCTTCACTGGTTTCTGCGGGGGGGAAATATACCAACAAAGACCGGTTAGGATGAAAGTGCTTTGTATTAAAAATAAACGGCAACTCACCCTTGATAATCACTAACCACACAAAATCAGCATCTCAATATTTTGGTTAACCATATCATCATCATCATCATCATTTTACTAACGCAAGTATCATCGTCGTCATCATCGCTTTACTAAAGTAACCATGAACAAGTGAGAGAATCCAGGAGCCCATCCTTGGTGGCCCGTGAGTATCAGGCCTGTCCGGTTTACGTTAGAGGGCAAAGAGCAAATGGATAAGGTATACTGTTAATCAAACTGCCTTTTTTAGATCAAATGCTGGCTGATCAGTCATCAATGGCGTTTCTAATATACCTGTTCTGTAAAGAGAAAAAAAACAGCCAAAATAGGCTTAGCACATAATATTGTGAAAGGTTAGAAGAATGGCTGCACGTGAATTAAAACTTTTTTTATCTAATTAATAGTAAGTATTTACTATGTTCTAAGTCAACTCACTTAATCCTCGTAACAAGAGTAGTGCTATTATTACTCTTACTTTATGGTTCACAAATTGAGACACAGGAAAGTTAAGTAACTTGCCTGATGGACAAAATGTTGAACCCAGGTTGCCTAGTCTGGCTTCACAATACACACTTTTTTTTTTCAAGTTTATTTTTAAGTAATCTCTACACCCAACTTGGTGCTCAAAGTCACGACCCAGAAATCAAGAGCTGCACACTCTGCCACCTGAGCCGGCCAGCCTCCCCTCTACAATACACACTCTTAATTACTGCTAATTGATGCTGAAAATGATAGATTTTCAGATATTTGCAGGAGTTGTGAATAAAATTTCTGAAAATTAAGCAATGGGTTCATGTAGCCAACAAAAAGTGAGGGACACTGGGAGAAGGTCGAGGGGGAAGCACAGAATTAAAACCCCACAAAACCTTGTTTGAACTGTTCCTCTACCACTTACTAGCTCTGAGATGTTCAAGATGATATAGCTCTTTGCAGTCAAATGCTCTACCACTGAGCTATACCCCCTAGATGATATAGCTCTTTGAACCTCAGTTTCTTCACATGTCAAATATTACTTTGCAAGGTAATTGTGAGGATTTGGAGAAAAAAAAAGTGGCTTGGAACAAAGTAAAAACTGATAGTGATTATGATTATCATTACTCTGAAGCCACTGGCCTTCAGAGGCTGATAAAACAGTAACAGCTGTTTCCTCTGGCAAATGATCAAATAGGACGTTTCTCTTGCATAGCTATGGTACCGTACAGCTGACTCCCAAAAAGCTGACTTTCTGAATACTGCTGGTCTACTGTTTTATCTACCGAGAAAAACAACAGAGTATATTAAAACCAAACAGCAGCAGCAGCCCCACCACCACTACCAATATATGTAGCACATATTTTATATATGACCTTAAAGGTAAATATGAATTTACATTCACATGTGTTTTCTCACATGATCCTTATGATAAGGTGAGGCCGGGAGAGCAGGAATTACTACTTCCATTTCAGGGACGAAGATATGGCAGCTTTGCAAGGTTAAGGGCTGCTCAGAGCCAAATGGTAATCCGTGGTAGAGGAGGGACCAGAAACCAAGATTCCTGGACCCAAGTTCAAAGACTATGAAAAAGAAATGATACTGGAAATGGCATTCTCATGAGCATAATCATTGGAAGAGTTATTTCTCTCAAAATAGCTACAGAATCCGATCTGCTCTGAGGAGTCCTTTGAGGAAATCTTCTGTGGATCACCAGGGGCAAAGACGAAATGTGCACTGATGACAGGGTACCCAGTGTACTTAGCCTGGAGACTCTTAGCATGGTGAGCTGGTTGTTAAACTCACCCAACACTGGGGGCGCCTGGGTGGCTTAGTCGGTTAAGCGTCCGACTTTCGCTTAGGTCATGATCTCGCGGTTCGTGGGTTCGAGCCCCGCGTCGGGCTCTGTGCTGACTGCCAGCCCAGAGCCTGGAGCCTGTTTCAGAGTCTGTGACTCCCTCTCTCTCTGACCCTCCCCTGCTCACGCCGTCTCTCTCTCTCTCCTAGAAATAAATAAAACGTTTAAAAAAAAAAAACTCACCCAACACTGGACTCTACCAGTGTGGACATAATTGATCAAGGCTCTTAATTATTTCATTTGCTGGAACAGACAATCATGGAAATTGTATACGGAATGCGAACATCTTGATAGACTTACATGTCAAATGATGCTTTGAGTGAATTTTTGAAAGGTGATTTCAGAAGCATATTTCTAACAAAGATCCATTTTATCTAGAAAAATGTCAACATGCAATCCAATCTCTCTCTTTACAGTTGTTTTCCTAAATCTGTGGTAAAATGGGATCTGAGGCTCAATACAGCATTCCTGAAACACTGCAGGATTTGGAATTGACTGATGAATCACTCAAGTTTAAATTATATTCAGCAGAGAAGACTATCTTGAGTGTTTTATTTTTTCAGTCTTAGGGTAATGCCTCATTAATAAGACAATAGTACTAATCATGACCAATTCATTCTCATGAAACGGACTAATAGTGATCCATCTTTAGAAGCCCAAATGGGAGGGAGGGGGGCTCAGTTGGTTAAGCGGCTGACTTCAGCTCAGATCACCATCATAATCTCACGGTTTTTGGGTTTGAGCCCCGCATCGGGCTCTGTGCTGACAGCTCAGAGCCTGGAGCCTGCGTCATTCTGTGTCTCCCTGTCTCTCTCCCACTCCCCTGCTTGTACTCTCACTCTCTCTCTCAAAAATAAGAAATAAAATATTTTTTAAAATGTAAGAAGTCCAAATAGGAGGAAGCTGAAGAATTACCTACTTTCTTCCCAGAATCCCCATCTAATTTTTACTTTATTAATATAAGTCAAAGAAATGATATGGCTGCAATTACCTGATGTTTCACTGTAACAGATTAGTTCAAAGAACTCCGTAATGAATGATATTATGGGATGTAACCTTTCAAAAAATGACTATTTTCCTAAAACCTCATCGCCACCAGAGGGGGCTACTGAGCCACATAGGCAAAGAAAAGAAGTCCCAATTCCCAACATAAATCAAACAACGGTAGTTTTCACAACAATCTTCCAAGTCTTTTAATTCCCGTTCTACAGATATAGAGTGTAGTTACATAACCTGTCAACACCAGTCGGAAGGATCCAAATGGTAGCAAAAGGGATGTGAGTGTGGTTGTGGCAACCACTCTGGATATGCAGCAGGCAAGGTCTGAGCTCTCCTCAAGGTCTTATGCTAACTGGAGATGCCTGCTATCAATCTATTAATACAAAGTGTCGGGTTTCCCATTTTTTTGAAATCCATGACGACTCCTCTCTCTGAGCAGTTAAACTGGGAGTTACTATAAGTGTTTGTTCTTGGTATATGTGTCCTTTAGAGCAACAAAGGATGATAAACATTCAATGTTTTCACATACAACACAAATCATTATCATTCATTCATTTTAACCACAGGTGTACTAAGCTCAGTGAGAAGAGGTCTTCCCTACTCAGAACCTTGAGGAATACCGAGAGATAAGGGCCTGACAGAACAGGAGAGGCTCACAAGAAGTCTGAGAAAGAATGGCTACACAGAGAGAGGGGAGAAAGTGAGGTCATGAAAATGAAGTGAAGAAAGTACATCAGGAAAGGGAAAGCTAATTTAATGGAGCATGACAAGTATACAGTTTCAAGTCATTCAATTCTAAAATTACGAAGAGGAACAAACGTTATTCAATAAACAAAACAATAAAAAAATACGATGTACTGCCATGTACTGGTTCTTTCCTCTAAAGGGCTTTAATTCCTTCCAGGGAAAAAAAAGTAAAGTCCCCAAAAGAAAAACTGAAAGGCCAAGAGCATTCAGCCCCTGGTCCTCCAGAGACTGACCTCACTGAGGCCAATGCTTCTATATGCAAGTTCCAATTTCTTCTCAACAGTGACTCTCTGCATTTATCCCCCATGAGGCCTATACCCTCTGAGAAGCCTCATCTCCCCATCCTGTGCTTCAAATACGATAGTCTCACTGCTTTGGTTTCCTTTTCCCGTGCCGAGCAACAACTCCCACGTAACTCCAACCCGCCTGCCCACAGAGCTTGGATCAAATACACCTCCACGCATGCCCAAGACAGCAAAACGCGGGCCCTGGTCCCAGCCGGTGCACTCTACCGACAAGGAGCTCCAACTGTGAGAAGCTTGTGCTATACTGACAGAGGGCCTGTCCCAGAGTTCTCACCCCCATATACTTAAAACCACCTCAGGAAGCAGCTGTATCTCTAGCTACAGGCTGCAGAATGAAGAGCTGACGTGAGTGATCCCTCACGCAGTATGGGGGGACTTCTCTTTTGGGTTACTCAGGGCATCCAAAGTGCGCAATGAAATCTCCTGCTCTAAATAGAATAGACTTCAAAAGACTGTTCTAGAAAACTTCTCGACATTCAGGGAGATCAAGATGAGAGATGTTTCTCACCCTCATTTAGACAATGTTATTAATTCGTGCAAAAATAAGCTCCCTAGGTCCTTTGGCTTAGTGTAATCATTTTCTGCTACAATAACCTCTTTGGGGTCACAAGCTAAATATTCTCGAACATCTCCACCAGTCAAGCCTGTTGTTTTACAATAAGCAGAGATGCTCTATGTCCTGGAATATCACAGAATACCACAGAAGAAAAGAAGTTCTAGTCACAATAAAAACTAAAGGTCACCCACTATTTGCACTGCATTAAGCGCTCATAAATCCATTACTTAAGGCCATATAGAATGAGTAGGTTTGTATTGTGGCTTTCAAGGTCTGTGAATTACACAGTCATCAATAAAGGACAAGGAGAGAATACAGAAGAGGTCTTATAACCTTTTCTCTTATTTACCGACTGCAAGGTTGGTGGGAGGAGGGAATCCGTTCTGTTCCCGACAACATTTCCCCCACAGAGGATTAAGCCTGAGGTGCTAACTGAAATTATTTCATTGTCTTTTTAAGTAATCGACTCATTAATTCTCATGGATATTGATTTGAGGAGAAAAATACATTACATCCTAATTAATGAGACTGTCTTACTAAAAGGGGAAATGTTGCATACAGTTAATTTGATTTTATAAATGACTTTATTAATGAAATGGTTTTATATGAAGTTTGAGACAATCTAGTGCATTAACAAAACTCAATATGAGAAGCAGGCCTGGTTGCTAATGCCATAATATTTTGAAAAAAATCAAAAGCCGCTGGTAAAAAACAGACAAAGGAAAGGATGGCTCTCTATAAAGACAAATTTCTCCCTTCATGCAAAATAATTTAGAAGTTAAGGAATAAATACTGCCCTGAAATGCTACAATAAACCAGGGATGGTCACTCCTGAGGGACACAGATCCCCGGAAGGAGACACCTGTAGTAACCTGGATCTTAATATTCAATCTACGGCTTGGCTTTTTACACAGTAATTTTTTTTTTTAATAACCTTGAATTTTTAGCTGTTATTTTTCTAAGGATTTCACTTAGGTGACTCCATTTGTTTCTTTATATAGATAGAATATAAAGCGTCTGCTAATGTGCTTTTTAAAACCATAAAAGCAATTTTAAAGGAGTATCAGGTACCATAAATCAACATAAAATTAGCAGACACACGTAATAGTCATCACTTACCTGGAGCAATGAACTGCTTAACATTGGTGAATCTAGACTTATCAGCCACACTGGCCATAAAGCAGCCCTTTGGCACAGTCCAGTCATTCGGCTTGCTGTTTCTGTCTCGGTCTTCTGCTGTTTCATACACCTCTACGTGAGGGGGCTTCTCAGTTAGGTTCTTGCTGTAATGACTCAACCCATACTGTGCGATCTGGATTGGATAGAAATAGCCTTGAGGTCCCCACTGGGTAGATAAAGGTACACCTACAAAATAGAGAACCAAAATAAATAAACACATCTGGACATTTCCAAGTGTATTCCACTGCTTTTCCTCTGGGACATGCTATAGGGTTATCGGCAGCTTTTAAGCTTTCTTATTATACGGTTTTCAGAATTATTTAAAAACTAGTACTGAGGTACTCAGATACGAATAACAAAATTAAGGTTTATTCATTCTGGTTCGGTACTTGACAGAAATGCAATGTGGTAGATTATCCTTTAAGAACTGATGTTTCACTTGGGGTGCCTGGGTGGCTCAGTTGGCTAAGTATCCGACTTCAGCTCAGGTCACGATCTCATGGTTCGTGGGCTCAAGCCCTGCGTCAGGCTCTGTGCTGACAGCTAGCTCAGAGCCTGAAGCCCGCTTCTGATTCCATGTCTCCCTCTCTCTCTGGCCCTAACCTGCTCACACTGTCTCTCTCAAATAAATAAACAAAACATTTTTTTAAAAATTAGAAAAAAAAAAAAACCCTGACATTTCACTTAGCTATAAGTGTCCCGTTTCATACATTCGAATTGTGTGCAATTTGAATACATGTAGATAATGTTACCACAGGTTTATCCTCAAATATTAATTCTGAAATTTTCTTAAATGTTTGTACTCAACATTCAAGTTAATTACTTACTCCTCTCTCTCTCCAATGTTAAGAGGTGGTCTAACAACTATATCATCTGATAGTTAAAGTATTTGCTTAAGAAGCCAGGTATAGCAGGCAACTTAAAGTATAAACACAGTTAGCAATTCTTCTTCTTATCCTTTATGTCAAAATGTGATTCCTGAGAACAAGGCGTGTTTTTTAAATGAATTAAAGTTGTATATCTAACGAGAAATTTTTGATATAATTAATGGATTATCTCTTTCTTGTAAAGTTGTAAGCCAAGCTTTTAAATGTCTGTTATTAGTGTTTAATTTAGTAATTCTGCAAGGGGAATACTATAATGCCACACTGCACAGAATACCGTATTGCTGCATCATGGTCTGTGTGTTTAGAAATAAATTCCTTTCTGTAGTTCCTAAGTAAATTAATAAACATCACATGAACACAACAGAAACTAATAACCTACAAAACCATATGTGTGACGTAGTTTCAAAACAGTTTAAGGAATTAGGAATTGTGAGGGCTAAGAAACCTAGGTTACAGATAAGCTTTTAATACAATGACAAAGGCTGCATCATGAATCAGTGGGGAAAAGAGATTATGCAATACGTGTGAGGGAAACAATCTGAAATTATACCCTAGCCTTATACCATTTACAAAATATAAATCAATTTAGCTGGTCTAAAAAGCTGAATGTAAAAAACCAAAACCCTAATAAAACTAATAGAGAAAATACAGATGAACAGCTGATCATAATGTGACAATTACTTTCTAAGATAAAAGTAAAAACAAAAAAATCTGTAAGTCTGGTAAATAAACTAAAAACTTCTAAAACTAACAAATCATAAGTAAAATGAAAGATAACCAAATTGAAGAAAATATCTTTAAAAAATGCAACAAAGTATTATTAACCTTACTATGTATTTAAAAGTTCTTGGGGCGCCTGGGTGGCTTAGTCGGTTAAACATCCGACTTTCGCTTAGGTCATGATCTAGCGGTTCGTGGGTTCGAGCCCCGCGTCGGGCTCTGTGCTGACTGCCAGCTCAGAGCCTGGAGCCTGTTTCAGTCTGTGACTCCCTCTCTCTCTGACCCTCCCCTGCTCACAATGTCTCTCTCTCTCTCTCTCTCTCTCCTAGAAATAAAACATTAAAAAAAAAAAAGTTCACACAAATGTTTAATAAGCCCACTTGAGGACATTAGAGAAAGGGGGAAACAACATGAAGATCATTTTATAATGATTTAAAGCATATGAAAAAATATCTGACCACACTAATGGTTACAGAAAGCAAATCATGAGATCCTTTGTAAATAATAGATTAAAAGAACAATGTTCCTTAAAGAAAAACAGTAAATACAAAAAGCCAGCAGAGCTGGGTGACCAGAGTGGCCTCACACTGTGCTCCTGGAAACACAAGTAGTTCAACCTTTTTGGAGAGCAGTTTAACAAAGTACATCAATTTCTATTATTTGAATGACAGTTTATTTCCTAGGAAACTACTCTTAGAATATAATTAAAATAGCAAAGGATGAACCATGAATAGCTATACCATTATGTGTAAAAGCAAAAAAACTGGAAATGACCTAAGCAGCCAACTAAAGAGAAAGGCTGAATACATTACATGTATCATGGCATATTCTTACTATGAACATTAGTCATTAAAATATTCAGTAAATATTTAATAACAAGGGGGAATAATATATTTTAGATGAATAAAGGAGAATACAAAATTGACTACAGAGTATGATCTCAATTTATTTAAAAAAAAAACAAAAAGATTGGGAAAACATCAAAATATTAACAGCGGTTATGCGTGCTTTTTACTTTTTCTTTAACACTCAAACATCTATTAATTTTATACATTTTACATAATTTACATGAAAGGCTTGGCGATGGAGATCTCTGAAATCTCTAAGAAAACATTACCATCCTGGACACTGTATATAGTAAGTATCATTACAACTATGTTAAAACATAGGCCTAGGTAGAAAGACCTCCAGAATATAAACAAAATGTAATAATTATCTTGAAGTGGTATGAATATAAGTGAATTTGGCCCTTCCGTCTTCTGAACATTTGGTAAAGATATTATAAAAAACTTAAAATATTATGAAATTAAAATCACTTTTATAGAATGAGGAAAATAAAAATTTAAACTAAGCAAAGCAATCTTAAAACACACTAAGTTCTTTCCTCCGGTTAAATGATGTATTTTAAAGTCAAATTCAATTAGGCTTTCTGATCAATCTTAGGCTTGAAATACAAATTCCAAAATGTACTAATTATACTCATAACGAACTCCTATGCTTCAGGTTTTAAAGACAATATGCAATTGACTATAGGCGTGTACTATAAAAGTTCGGAGAAAAGGGTGTCTCTGTGTTGTCTTATTCTGAGGACTTTAAACCTCCATCCAGAGAGGACTAATCTGGCAGTTAAGACTGCATTGGTACATCTGTCCACTGCTTTCCTCTCATAAAAGCAGTAACTGATTTTAATGCAAAATTTTTGGAGATGCTGTGCCTTTACCTTACTGGTGATAATTTTAGATTCTGAGGCAGGTTAGTGGAATAATCCTATTTGATCAGGCATGATCTTGCAGCTCTCCAATCACATCATCCAGAACACTGCCCCAGGTTCAGACTTGACCTGGTCCTCCTTGCTAAGTCAGAGTGATGAATGGTCTCTTGAAAGTAAGCTACGTTATGTACTTGCTATATAACCCACACCTACAATTTCTTATTCCTCAACACAATCAAGATTTTTAAAAAAGGCAGTGGGGCAGACAGATACCCACCTTCAACCCCACTTATGCACTTGACTCTGTCTCGGACTTCCACATTGTAGCCTTCAAAGGACATAAACACACCATCGGGGTGATAAGGGGCTCTCTGGGCATAGACTTTGGAATAGCTATGAGAGAATTCAAACCGATCATAGCCATCGTACTGAACCACCTTTCCATATACATCAAAATACTTCTCTACCCAAGTGAATGGAAGAAAGACTTCATTCCCCTCTCTTCTCCCTTTAATTGTGTGTTCATCATTTATGAGACAGTCAATTTCTTCGTACTTGAGCCCCAACACCTTGCTTCCCCCATTGCCGATGAAGCTCCCAACAACAGGGGGTGCTTTCTGCTGTTCCTGAGGGAATGCCTCCTCAGACTGTTTGGCCATGTGGTTCACATAGTTGTTACTCTCAGATGCTGCTGCTCTTTTTTCTAGTCCATCCACTCGGAAGCCACTACTCAAGTGCCGTGGAAACTGGATCGCTTTATCGCTGGAGCATTTATTCCACAAAAGTACCGTGACCAAAGTGAAGAGTGTGCAGATGATAATCAAAGTCTTATAGTTGACCCGAGCTGCCAAGCAACGCATATTTCAGACCATACCTATGGAGGCAAGAAGAAAAATTCATGCAAAGATGTACTGCAGACATTTCATAGGATAAGGTTTTATTATTTTTTTTAATATTGAACCACATGAGGACAATTTTATTCACTGCAGTAATCTAATCAGATTTAAAACTGCTAACTCAAACCTTTCCGCAGAGACAAAAGGCAAGAGGAGCTTCCCCCTCTTAAAATTCTTAGTTAGCATGACCCTCTAAAGCAGAGATCTTCAAACTTTGTTTGTGGCTCTTTTGGTATCTTAGTACTTGTTTCAAAATCCCCAGGCCAAAAGAAATACCTAACAGTTCCATTTATTAAGTCCCTGGGCCCAAATAACTTAATACATTATTTTTGTCTGAACAAGTTAGTAGCTGTTGGAAAAAACAGTGGCTCTTGTAAAGGTAAACACCAATATCCATGCTGCCAAACCTGAGTGAATTTTCAGTGCCCATCCTACGCGCTCTCTCGGCAGCGTGAACAGTCAAAAGACTCCTTCCTACTGGAAACACTTTCTCCTCGTGGCTTCCAGGGCACCATCCTCTCACGGACTTTCTTGTACGTCACTGGCTGCTCCTCCTCAGCCATCTCCATGGACCGTAAGTGTTAGCGTGCCTTAGGGTCTCAGTCCTCCTCCTACGTCTTCTTGATCGCTGTTCACTCCTAGGCGACCTCACCCAACCTCGTGGCTTCAAATACACGTTATATGCTACTTCTAAAATTCCATCTCTAAGCCAGAACTTTCTTCAGAATCGCAGACATATATAAGTACCAATCCAAGTAGCTGGGATCTTTACTGATCAAATGGGCTTTTGAAACACCCAAAACTTAACTCCCAAACCTTCCCCATGTTTCTCTTTTCCTAATGCCCAGATCAGAAACCTCTACTCCATTCTTACTCACCCCATATCCAATTAGGAAATGCTGTTGGCTCTACCTTCAAATTATACCCAGACTCTGACCTCTTTTAACCAATTCCATCATTACTACCACATCAGAGCCCCTGGCTATCTTTCACTTAGAATCCTATGATGATGTTCAAACTGGTCTCCTTATTTCTATCCTTGCTCTACACTATTCTACCCCGTCTATTCCCAACATAGCCATTTGAATGATGCTTTTATTTTTTAAGTTTATTTATTTTGAGAGTCACAGAGATAAAGCAAGTAGGGGAGGGGCAGAGAGAGAATCCCAAGCAGGCTCCGCACTGTCAGCACAGAGCCCGATGTAGGGCTTGAACTCAAGAACAGTGAGATCATGACGGGAGCCAAAATCAAAAGTCAGATGCCTAACTGGCTGAGCCACCCAGGTGCCCCAGAATAATGCTTTTAAATGTAAGCCAGATCACATCCCTCTAGTCACAATGGGAAAATAATCTGATGCTGTTGCCTCTCCATATAATGTACTTGCCAGTTGTGACTGTAATGAAGTAGTTCTGGGTTGCCTGTTGCTGAGGTCACTGGGAACTATGGAATATTATGGTATTAGTCTCCTTATTTTTGCTACAGTAGCTCTATAATTCATTTTATGGTGTATATCCACAACTACATATTTTACTGTTTGTGATTATTCATCCCTTTTCTTTCAAAAAGCTCTTTTGGCAGCAATGAGATTTTAAAAAAATCAAACCCCAAAAAGAAAATGTTTAATGAAAAATTACACAAAATAATTTTCCATTTTTTAAGAAAGCTGATGGTGAGGGGTGCCTGGGTGGCTCAGTGAGTTAAGCATCTGACTTTGGCTCAGGTCATGATATTACGGTTCTGTGGGTCTGAGCCCTGCATCTGGCTCTCTGCTGTCAGCAGGGAGCCTGCTTCAGATCCTCTGTCCCTCGCTCTCTCCTCCCCTCTCCTTCTTGTGCTCTCTGTCTCTCTCAAAAATAAATTTTTTTTTTTTAAAAAGAAAGCTAATGCTGAATGTGTAATTCCCTATCTATCTATCTATCTATCTATCTATCTATCTTATCACTTGAATTCATGACCCCAAGATCAAGAGTCACATGCTCTACCAACTGTGCCAGACAGGCACCCTCACTCATTTATTTCCAAGAGAAGGTACCTTTGAGTTCTTTTATGTCTAAAATCAACTTCAGTCTGCTCTCACCTTTGATTTACAGTTTGGCAAGATATAGAATCCCTGGTTACACATTATTTTCGTCCGAAAAGTTGTAGGCAATGTTTTATTGTCTTAAAGCATTAAGAATTGCTGATGAGAGTGGCGCCTGAGTGGCTCAGTTGGTTGGGTGTCCAACTCTTGGTTTGGGCTCAGGTCATGATCTCAGCGTCGGGCTCTGCGTTGGGAGTGCAGAGCCTTCTTGGGTTCTCTCTCACCCTGTCTACCCCTCCCTTGCTCACTCTCTCTCAAAATAAAGAAATGAACTTAAAAAAAATTTTTTTAAAGAATTACTGATGAGAGGTTTGATTTCAGTTTGATACTTGTCACTTTGTACGTGACTTTCCTCTGAATCTTTTATCCCTAAAATACTGCAGCTTCCCAAGAAAGTATTACATTATGATATTTGATTCACTATTTCAGCACTTGTTGTGCCCTTTCAATCTGAAAGCTTGTGTTCTCTTTTGTTTAATGGGTGTAGTTCTCTTCCTGCAGCCCTGAGTATATTAGCATTTCTTTCTTGTTCTCTCTGATTAGCTCTATTTTCTCCAGTGGCAATTTTTCTGGTTATTTTAGTCTCCCTTTCATGCCATCAGTTTTTCTCACATGCCTGGCGATCTTTGGTTACTCATTCATATTTACATTTGAATGATTCATTTTAGCCAACACAGATTTCCTCTATCGTTGTGAAGATGGTTTGATTTCTGGCTAGACTGCACTCCTGAGGAGGGCTCTGTGTGGGGTAGGTACGGGCTGACTGGCAGTGTTCCTTTAGGATGCATGGGTGGGAGCCAGCTGGCCTTCTAAATATCAGAATACAGATGGCTTTTTTCTTTTGCTCTGGAGATATAACTTGTACTCCAGAAGGCTTAGCTTTCCCCAATTTCTTTGAAGAAAATCTGTTGATGTTTTGCCTGGGGTTCATGCCTGCTATCAATATGTCTAAGTGCAGGGATGAGAGCGGTATGGAGAAATGAGAGCCTTCTAGCACTTGAACAGAGATCCAAAAATCTCTTCAATTATCACTCTTTGGTAGTCTTCCTATTTATTGTTATTGGTTTCTTCCTTCTTATTTCTATACATTTTATTCCAGTAAGATTTATTTTTAAGTATTTATTATTTTTTATTTTGAGAGACAGAGAGAGAGAGCAAGTGGGGGAGTGGCACAGAGAGAGGGAGACACAGAATCTGAAGCAGGCTCCAGACTCCCAGATGTCAGCACAGAGCCTCACATGGGGTTCGAACCCATGGACTGTGAGATCATGACCTGAGCCGAAGTTGAACACCTAACCGACTGAGCCACCCAGGTGCCCTATCATACACAGATTTAAGAGCCAGAAGCTCTTATCATCTGCATTATTATTAGAAAATGTACTGAATGCTAAAAAACCAAAGAATTCAATGAACCTTCAGAAGTCATATATTTACAAAGGATTTCTTTATATTATATATAGTACAAGCAAACCAACACATTAAATGGTGTTTATCTCTTTGTTAAAAACACTTATGTGTCAACATTTGAATCACTTCTCAGGTCTAACATTTAAACCAATTAAAATAGAAATATAAAGATTTTTTTGTCCCATCTTTGAGAAGTGCCCTTCCTCTATGACTTAAATGAGAGTAAACTTGCCTACGGAACTAGGCTACCATTATAATGAGACTCATGATGGGAAAATAAAAAATGAAAATAAAAAGGTTTGGGGGGAAAATAAAAAAAAAAAAGAAAGGTTTCAACAATATTTATGCCCAGATTTTGATTATCTGATACCATTCTGTAACAAAAGCAATGTGGGCTTCTTAGAGAAATAGATGATTCCAGGTCTAGGGCCTTGTCATGCCAGAAAATAAAGAAAACTTAATAAAATGGGCTCATAACCGAGGGGATTAAAAAAAAAGCAGTAGGAGAAAGATAAAATGAGATTAGAAACACTGACAATTGTTGAGGCTGAAAGATATATTGAAGGTTCACTACATCATTCTCTATACTTTCATTTGTTTGAACATTTCTGTAATTAAAAAATAATAGTATCATAGCAAAAAGACACAAGACAAGAATCACCCTGAAAGGTCCCTTTCCCCATTAGTCAAAGTTGTGAGAATTATGATTGCTGTTAACTGAAACACATTGAAATAAGAAAAATCTAAGCCTACAATGATACTCAAAGAGGAGAAAGTCAGAAAAAAAGCCCTGATGTCATCTTCTGACTGAGCTGGTGCAAACTGGTAACTAAATGAAAGAATTTATTTATCTACCTGGCCTTGAAAGAGAAGAAGCCAATAGACCCATATGAAAATTGTTACAGAAAAAGAGCGGCTAATGATGTAGAAGAAATTTTCTAAAAATATCAGGAAATTAGCATTATGTGATCCCTCATGAAATTTACTAATTTAGACAAGTATTATATTCAGGTATATCTTTGATAGGGACCTAGTGATTCATAGTGTGCAAGGTAACACCAAATACATTATTTTCTAGTAGTAAGAAGAAAAAGTTGAGGCTCTGCAATGAAGGGATCAGTCTCATTAATGGTGACTCATCCAGATACTGTGACAACCAGACGTGACACCTGGTCCCTCCACTGGGAAAGGAGACCGTGGACTTGATAACAAGTGAAGATAGAAGGATATAGAAACTGTTAATTGACAAAAGGAGGTCACAAACCGCACACATAGACTGATCTCACTTTGGTAAACAGTGCATACATAGGTCTTTATTTTCTCATTTCCCACGAGTATATTTACTGGGTTTTTTAAAGCATTAAAATTGAAAAAAGTCACTTTATGAAAGTAAATCTAAATTTTAAGTTTAATGATGTCTATAAATATATAGTTTTCAAAATAGGCAATCATGTTTTTTCAGGGGAGGGGAGGAAATATGGGAGAAAGAA